ATAATGGTCGGAAAGGATGCAAATATGCAAATGATATGCAAGTATCTAGAACTTCGTAAGGACATACACATATTTCTCCTTGGTTTCCGACTCCATACGTCGGAATGACTGGCTTAGAGGACCTACCTAACCCTCAATGTTGCAATTGGCTAAATTAATCATTGTCAATTAATATGATTGGCTAAAATTAAATACAATGTTCTGATTGGCTGATTATAACGAAATTGGCACAATACAAAACTTTAGTATGGTCGGAAAAGTGTTTATATTCATCCATATCTATTTTACGTCAAGAATGCAACATATCTATCTCTATGAAAATGGTTTTAAGCAAGTAAAAAACCTGTTCATGTAAAATGCAAAAGTAACATGTATAGATGTCAACACTGAAGTGAGTGCGTTACTGTTAGCGGCGGATTGATTCCAACTGTGCCTGTAGGTGATACCAACTCGGTGGTCGTAAATAATAGCCACTTGAGGAGAGCAATACGTCGATGATCGGTTGGACAACTGGGCGTAGCGATTGCAAGTCGCAACATTTCCCGCATTCTCCATTAGTCGAGCGGTCAACTGATTGTTCGCGATGAACGTTTTAGCTCAACAGAGTCAGTTGGTCCCGACAAACGACACAGATCTTAATTAGACACCTATTGCACATATATCAATAATAGCACCACATACACCATGCGAGCGCTGGTGATCAGTAGTGCAATCGATCCTGCCATGGCAGTAGCGCTTTTTGTCGTGAGCATGAATGACGAAGTATTAAACGTGCCGAATACCGAGAAGATGTAACCTACGTTATCTTTTCTCCAATTGGAAGCCACAGAGCAGCCGCAAGCTGCACCTTGGACAATTACTACAATACGCAAGCTCGCATTGTTTCTTAGGACGCTGGAGACATGGCAAAACAGTTCTACGCCGACGCTATCAGCTGGGATTATCAATTGCTGCCGCCTTTATTTGCCGCGTTGTCAGCAGAAAGGATACGGAGCCCACGCGTTGTCGCTATGGTACGCAAGATGACATCCAGGGCAGAGACAAAGGGCAAAAGTACTGCCTCGCCACCTCTCGCTGCGACGGTATTGACAGTCACTACGCATTGTTGTCAATACACTGCATTGAATGCAGGCATGAACCCTCCGAGGACATCCATGCATTTGTACACGGCAGCGACGCAGCGATTGAGGCCAAGTCCCTTGCTGACGTACTTACGGGAGGTGTCTCATTTCGGCGGGTTCAGAAATTCGGATGCCCCCTTACAAATACCAAATGAAAATAGGCGGCGGGTTCAGAATTTAGGAAAATCTATTCTTAAACTCAGGTGTGTGAAAAAAAATGGCCCCACAATCAGACGTAGCAGAAAATACAGAATCTGTTTGAGGTCAGCACCACTTATCTGAGGTTCCGCTACCCTAACAGGGCAATGGCGACTGCAGCTAGGCTTTCCACCAGCGATAGACTCTGCGGTTGCTCTTGCAAGGCCTACCCTGCAACGACCATGATTCTAGAGACCGTGGACGGTAACAACTACAGCTGAAGCGCTCGCGGAGCGGACGTAAAATACAACGCTGGTCGACGGGGAGCTCTGTTGTCTTTGCAGCAATGTCGCTGACGTACTTGCACGCGTACATGCATTGTTTACGATCGATGTGGCCAGAAAAGTACCTTTTTGGCATGAAACAGGTGCTCTTCGAGGTTGAAGCCGATGCAGTCGTAATCGAAGATCGAGCGTTCTCGCTAAAGCTCAGTAATGCAATATGACCGGCTTACACCATAACAAGATACTGCAGCTCAATGCACTCTATCGGTTTAGTTTAGAAATAAGCCCAATAAGCCCAACAATCCGCTGCTTTCTCAAAATTGGGCTCTTAAAAAAAGATCACTGCCTTGTTTCTGACACCATCTATTCGTCTATTTGAGGTGTTTGCCTCATCCAAACGGCCAGCGTCAGGTTGAAACCGCACCAGCCGGGGCTTTCACTTGGTTTCACTATGTCCAAAGTTGCCGCTTCGCCTTCGGGACAGTTGACATCCACAAATACACTTCATTTCACTAAGTAACAAGAGAGATGACGTGTCCGTCGTCGCTTCACCTCACAGTCAACTCCCCCCAAGTAAAAAAATCCACGTGTCTTGGCTCCTTAGGCTCATTTCCCTTTTCTTCCAGTTGGCGGCAGATCTCCGAGACCCTCAAGCCTACTTTCCCCTCCCTCAAACAAGATGGCTGACGAAGACGTTCAAGCTTTGGTCGTGGACAACGGCTCCGGTATGTGCAAGGCCGGTTTTGCCGGTGACGACGCTCCGCGCGCCGTGTTCCCCTCGATTGTGGGTCGCCCCAAGCACCTGGGTATCATGGTGGGCATGGACCAGAAGGACGCCTACGTCGGTGACGAGGCCCAGTCCAAGCGTGGTGTGCTGACGCTTAAGTACCCTATTGAGCACGGTATTGTGACCAACTGGGACGACATGGAGAAGATCTGGCACCACACGTTCTACAACGAGCTGCGTGTGGCCCCTGAGGAGCACCCGGTGCTGCTGACGGAGGCCCCGCTCAACCCCAAGGCCAACCGTGAGCGCATGACGCAGATCATGTTCGAGACGTTCAACGTGCCCGCCATGTACGTGAACATCCAGGCCGTGCTGTCCCTGTACGCCTCTGGCCGTACCACGGGCTGTGTGCTCGACTCTGGTGATGGTGTGTCCCACACGGTGCCCATTTACGAGGGTTACGCTCTTCCCCACGCTATTGTGCGTTTGGATCTGGCTGGCCGCGACTTGACGGACTACATGATGAAGATCCTGACGGAGCGTGGTTACTCGTTCACGACCACGGCCGAGCGCGAAATTGTGCGTGACATCAAGGAGAAGCTGACGTACATCGCTCTGGACTTCGACCAGGAGATGAAGACTGCTGCCGAGTCGTCGGGTCTGGAAAAGAGTTACGAGCTGCCCGATGGCAACGTCATTGTCATCGGTAACGAGCGTTTCCGTACCCCCGAGGTGCTGTTCCAGCCCTCGCTCATCGGTAAGGAAGCTTCGGGTATCCACGACTGCACGTTCCAGACCATCATGAAGTGTGATGTCGATATCCGTAAGGACCTGTACTGCAACATTGTGCTGTCGGGTGGTACCACCATGTACCCGGGCATTGGCGAGCGTATGACGAAGGAGCTGACGGCTCTGGCCCCGTCCACCATGAAGATCAAGGTGGTGGCCCCGCCCGAGCGCAAGTACTCGGTCTGGATTGGTGGTTCCATTCTGTCGTCGCTGTCGACGTTCCAGCAGATGTGGATCTCGAAGGCCGAGTACGACGAGTCGGGACCTTCGATCGTGCACCGCAAGTGCTTCTAAGTTGCCTCGTTAAGAGTCGACTTGACTTAGAATCTGGAGGAGAAATGCCGCTGGTCGAGCGCAGCATCTTGAGGCTTAAGTGCTTCGGTGCGCACTTGGTGGTGGTGCCGTCCATTTACTTTTCAAAACCTTTCTTTGCTTTAATTTCTAAAATACTAGGATTGATGTTGTGATCTATCCCGTGTCTTGTTGTTGTTCTTTGGTATCTTGGGTTGGGAATCATGCCAAGTATAGACGCTGTGTACCCAAACAAGTTGCAATGGTACAGATAGACCATATCTTGATCTCACAGCTCACAAAGCCCGATAGATACTGAATATCAAGAAATGGTATGCATGCCAATGACCAAGAGATCTGAATTGAAAAAGATTGACACGAGTGGGATTTGAACCCACGCCAATGAAGACTGGTGCCTAAAACCAGCGCCTTAGACCACTCGGCCATCGTGTCATTATGATTTAATACACTGAAATGATAATATCTGTTCAAAAGACAAATGCTTACTTGCATGAGGTATCTATCGTGTCGTTGATCCACTCTGCTGTAAGTGCACCCACTCTCGTCTGCATGCACGTGGTGCAGGCATCTTCTCCTGGTTTAGCAGCTTTCCGTGGTGTGGCGCACACCTCCGGAACTACAAGTTGAGTGTTCCGCATCTCAGCCGAAAGCTCACTTGCCATTGCACCCTCTAACAAACACTCAAGAAAATGGGGAACGACTCGGAGCAGACGTCGCTGCTCTTCAATGAGTGCGACGTGGACGTTGAGTTCGTGCCGGCCATCATCGCGCGCGGCACGAGCTTCCCTGCCGCCAGTCCCACGTACACGGCGTCACTAGATGTGGTTAAAATCCACGACTACGAGACGGAGAGCGACGCCGCTTCTCTGGTACAAGAATTGACTCAAGAACAAGACGAAGAGCCCGAACCCGTGGCCATCGACGAGTTCTGGAAGACCATGGCGCTCGCGTACCCCGTAGTCATCACCTACACTCTCGAGTATCTTCCTGGTCTTGTATGTATTGTCCTAGTCGGACACATCGAGTCTCCGGACACAAAACGCTATGTGGCAGCAGCCACCCTATCGACCATGTTCACGAATGTATCGGCGCTCTCCATCGGCTTCGGCCTCACGTCGGCACTCGATACATTGTGCTCGCAAGCGTATGGAGCAGGCAAGTTGGATAAACTGGGACTTTACTTGCAATCGGCATTGATCGTAATAGGGGCGTGTCTGATCCCCGTGTTCCTTATGAACTGGCACGCCGAGTTCTTCCTGCTACTCGCTGGGCAAGACCCCGAAGTGGCGAGATTGGCTGGCGAGTTTTCCAGAGTCACGGTCTTTGGCGTACCATTTCTATTTGTCTACGAAATGTTACGGAAATTGTTACAAGCGCAGAATGTTGTGCGACCCATGGTACTCTTTGCATTGGTTGGAACATTTATCAATGTGTTTGGGGGTTATATGCTCACATACTGGTCGTCGTTGGGCTTCCACGGAGCTGCGCTATCGAGAACACTTGGGTACATGGCCATGCCGTTGTGTCTTGCGCCTTACTTTATGGTAAGTGGCAACCACACAAGGTGGTGGACTGGCTGGAAGATAAAGGAGGCGTGGGCTCTTGTGCCCTTGTTTTTGCGATTAGGAATCCCCGGATTTCTAATGATGGCGATGGAATGGTGGGCGTACGAGGTGCTTGCAGTGATTGCAGGCAACTTGCCGGATGGTGTAGTGTCTGTGAGTGCTCATGCGGTGCTCATGAATGTGGCTTCGTCGATTTATACGGTTTTTATGGGTGTTTCTATCTCCAGTAACATCCGAGTTGGGAACTGTCTGGGTGCGAATCACCCGAAGAAGGCGCGAGTTATTAGCCGTACTACCCTCAGCACAGTCTTCGTGCTTTCGTGTTTCTTCGCCGGACTCGTATACTTACTCCGTCATCAGATCCCGCTTCTGGTTATTAACGACCCAGTGGCCATTCAACGCGCGTCGGATGCGCTACTTGTGATGGTTCCCTATGAGATTATTGACTCGCTTAACTGCGTTATCCAAGGCATCTACAAGGGAGCTGGATGGCAGGATATGGCTGCGAAAACTAACGTTCTCGCCTTCTACGTCATTGGCATCCCGCTGGGAGCGTTACTGTCGTTTCATTTTGGTATTGGAATCGAGGGACTCTGGATCGGCTTCGGGACAGGCATCGCCACAGCCTTTACAGTCTGCAGCACAAACCTTTATTACTCGAGCTGGGAGCAGATGGCCCTTGAGGCACGTGCAAGACTCGCTCACTGAGGAAACTACCACATGCATGTATCAATTTCAGGTTGAGGAAGGCTTAGAAATACTTCGTAATTGAAGTGAGAAATCTGACGCAATCTAGAAACAATTCGACCTGAAAATCACCTTTTTTTAAATAAGTGAATGCACATATTTTAATTTTTTTTGTTCGAGGTCGGCACTACGTACAGTATGG